TACAAGATATAGTCTCCCAAAATCAGCCACGTGCAGTCACAAGTTGTGCTGAATGCTCTGTTAAGACTATTGCATTTAACTATTTAGCCCACAGGACTATGCTGGCTTCAAGTAGTCCACTTGCCTGTTCATGGAATACTTGACGTTTTATAGGGTGCGTTTACTTTTAGCTCCGATCTTGCCCCTAGTGCGCTTAGCCTGTATACTTTTTTTAGCTACTAACGAGCACGGCATTTACTTTTTGTACCTGTGATGTCATTACTAGCATTCCTAGTGTGCTCAGAGAATTTACAACGAGCTTGGAGTTTGTGTCAAAGATGATGGTGTCCATTATTATGTATGCTTTTATGAGCATGCTAGTATGACATCAGGCTGTGCTAGGTGTCAGCTCGGTGAGCTTGGAAGATAGCAAAAAGTAAACGCACCCATAATTTTAGGGGGCTCATCCCCACCCATATACAAGTGATAGCAAGCAGCTAAGTGCACGACCATATGCAGAGCACAGAGAATAGGCAGAAATACTGGTTCAAGGTACAAACTGTTTTCGATCAGTAAAAGTTAATTATTTGGGTTAATATTACCCTAGGTATCGAGATGGCGGCATTTCCGGTAATCTCATATCGGGGTACCGAGTTACGCTTGCGATAGAGGGCACTGAATTTTAACGCGGCGGGATATGCAAATTAATTCTGCTAAACGGACAAGGGGGTGTGTGTGTGCAAAAGTTAGATTTGCGTGACAACGAAGAAGAAGAAGGTTGATTTGTTACAAAAATTTGGTGTTATTTCGTTTAAATTGAAGGAGTTTTTGTTTTTTTTCCCCTCGTTATTTTTCTTCCAAATGAGTGATTTGAATGTTACCTCCAGAGAATTTTGGCAGGGATGTACCTACCGGGACTTTTTCCGTCTTCTCAAAAGTGACTATTCTGAATTGGTTCTGGATCCCATAATTGACAAAGGGTTCAAATTAGTGGTAAAACTAGGATTACAGCACGTTGCCGACGTGTGCTCGAAATGTTTGAAACCTTGCGAAGTCGTTTATCGCAACAAAATGAAATCCTGTGCAATGAGATGTCAAAAATGCTGGAACAACAGCAGTTCGGCATTCGAAGGAACTTTCAAAGGCGAATTCGGCAAAATTCCTTGGAGTAGCATACTGTCGTTTGTGTGGCATTATCTAGCATTGGATTGCTCGTTTAAATTCCAGATACGTATACTGTCATGGCAGCTCATCTCTGATTCCAGCAAACAAAAGGAAACAGTGGGGATGCACGTTCTAACGTAACCTAACCTATTCTAATAATTTGGTTGGTAATAATTATGGTAATTTATTAGAATAGGTTAGGTTAGGTTAGAACGTGTGTCCCCATTGTTTCCTTTCTTTTGTTTGCTGGAATCAGAGATGAGCCGCCACGACGGTATACGTATCTGGAATTTAACCTCTGTAAGCGCAAATACGAAAAAGGCCTCGATTTCGACCTCGGGTTTATCACGCAAAAAGTAGGAAAAAAAAGAGAGAAGCATTCGAACGTAAGTAAAAAAAAATACACATTTTTTATTTTTTTTAGTAATAAGAAAGAATTACGAAATAAAATTATTATTATTTCGTAATTCGATTTCTTTTCCTTTTTCGTGGGGGTTGCGGCAGTGGAGCAGCCGCCGCCGAGTTCGCAAACAAGATGGCGACCGGAAGCACCAACCGAGTTGGCGACTAACGCCATGTTCGTTACCTAGGGTAACATTAATTGACCATTATTTGTTATAGGCACCAATCATCACACCTATAACACAACTTGCGTGCAAGTGTGATGTTCACAGGCAAGATGGTCATCAGAACTACCACTGCTGAGTTCCAGATTTGGAGATGAATATCTCACAAAGAGTCAGCCATCAGACTTTTCTTTATTCTTTACCAATAAATATCATTAGAATGTCCGATCACCATGATGTACTCTAACTGTTAAACATGTGGATTAGCTGAGCAAGCAGAGTGACTTCTACAGCTGTGTTAAGATCCCAATAGTGTCATTCACATCTGCACTGTTCCCAATTCTTGGCCAAATCTAAACTGAGTGTCTCTCTTGTAAATAGAAATTTGTTTCGAATTCTGAAAAAGTAGCTAAAATGCTTCAAAAATTTATTTCTGATGCTAAAAGTTACTATATTATTATTTTTATAAATTTCAATTTTTTTTTTACAATTTCTAATGCATCACCTNAATCAATATAAATCCAATTAATTGGTTCTAGACACTCCAAAATACATACCAGAAACACATTTTATAGACAATAAATAGTGTTTAATACTAAAAACAATAAGAAATTAATATAAAATAAATATAAAAGACTAATGTAAAGAATAAATGAACATTTAACGTGGCATTTCCCATGATGCAGCTAAAAGGAAAGCAATGGAATTGCGTGTATTCAAAATCTCAGCATCAATCTAGTGCAATGCTGCTGGAAGTATCGCAATTGCTGGCTTTTTCTGGAGAACACAAACGCTGATATCCAGGAATTTTGGGAGAGGAAAAACAATAAAAATGGAGAATGATGTAGACTTCCACATTATGTTAAATTTATTTTTGAACTTATTTAATGAGAACAGCTTAATGAGAAATGAATATTTCAAAAAGAGAAATAGAGATAAAAATTTTTTAAATTTCTGTAGGTGTTTAAATAATTAAATCAATCCTAGATTACATTTTAACAACAAAAAAATTATGTGAAGTCTTACATAAATATACTAGTGTATTAAAATATTTTATTAATGTACTAACTGAATATTAATTTATTCAGGGTTTATTCATCAACAAATAAATAAAATTCTAAACTGTCAACACAAAATAGAGCTCTTACGATCATCATTGTGACTGCCATCTTGTTTGCTGGTGTATCGAGCACCAAAAAAGATGCTTGCAGCAATCAGAAGTTATCTGAGATTTTGAACAGAGGTGCTGGTTGCATGCTGAGATTTTGAATACGCCTATTGTTTTGGCTAGATGCATGGGGTAATGCTCACACAACAAGAAACATCACACTGAGCAGGAAAACGCGTGGTTTCTCAAAATTAGCAGTGAGGATACATGGAAATGTCAACGATATCCAAGGCAACTAATGAAAACCAATATAAATTTTTTGTGAAAAAAATTGACAATAACCGAAGTCAATGAAACCTGAAGTATTACTGTAAAGTAATAAAATAGAATGATGAAGTAAAATAAGTGCACTGTTAAAATATCATCATCCACATTGTATCCATCGTCACAATTTCCTATACTTCTCATATTCATCTATATCGCACAAAGTTGAAAATGGACTTAATGTCCGAAATGCATACTCTTCAGGGAAATAAAGATATGATTTTCTAAAGTTTGTCCCCTCTCTGACTGATGGTGTAATAAGTCTAGCGAAAAAGGAAAGGAAAAGCCATTATAGTGATAGTATAATTGAACACAAGACTAGACAAGAAGCATATTGCAGAAAGTTGCAATCCATACTCTTTATGGCAAAGAATTCTATGATTGTTTTGATGTAATCTGCCATGCTAAGTTCTCTTTGGAATCTCACCTGTTCTTTTGGTTCAGCAGAGTACTGTTTAGATTCGAGTCTTTCAGTATTTTAGTAAAGACCAACCATATATCTATCTATATCTATATCTATATATATATATAAAAAATGGACATGTATGTCCCTATATTTCACTTTTTCGCCAAAACTACACATCACACGTGAATGGTGTTTGTATGTGGCGGTAGCCCCAAGTCATCCAAGTGCATAGGGGTGGTTGCATCTCGATAGCTATAAGGGTGCGGGAGATATGAGGCTGAAAGTGGTTTTCTATTTCGAATGTTTTGTTCGAATTAAATTCAAACAATATTCGAATTAAATTCGAACATAAAATTCAAATATTGGTTTGATTATAGAACGATTGTAAACGTTCCAGAAACATTGAAAATAGTTCGTTTGACTGGATGTGAACAGGAGACGTTCAGAAATAGAATCGGGACCAGGTCTCTAATTAGTCTGGAAACGGGGAACCTAATTCTTGCATTCTGTGAAAACGGGTAAGATTGGCTATAATATAATTATCTTAATCTTCACTATCGTTACTTTTTAAAAATCCAGCAAAGTGGGTCCTTGCAGCTAGTATATATACATATATATATATATGTCAATGGCTGAATAATCTGTAGTTTGTTTTCTCTCTTCTCCTTTTTGAAAATGAGAACCATTATTGTATTGTTCTAGTATTCTAATTCATCAGACTTCTTGAACCACTAGGTAAAGAGAACAGCTAAAATACTAGCAAAATCTTCATAAGCTTCTTTAATAAGATCAACTAAGATTTTACCTTCTCCAGATTTTTCCCTTTTCATGCATTTTATAACACTGTATACTTCATCTTTCTTTATAGGAATTACCTGTTCTGTTTTATATATTATTCTCATGTTACCTATATTGCTACATTATTTTGTTTACTTGCCATCATCATATCTGTAAAGTGTGACTGAAGGGTCGGCATCTCTTCGATGCCCGTCAGGATGACACCACTGTGTCTCAGCGGACATGGAACCCGTTACATTTGGGCATGTGAGCAGTCGCGTGTGTGAGCAAGCAGATTCGGGATTGAGGGAGAGACAGCATGCTGGAAGTGACTTACTCAGAGACGATTAAACGTAACAACTGTTTAATTGGTAACTATAGGCCATACAGGATATAAAATATATCAATTTTAAATATGCTAGCTGTTAGAGATCTTTGCTACAATTGATATTAGATNATATAAAAAATATTATGCAAATTTTGTAAGCATTTACGATATAATATATAAAATTTTAATATTAATACAAAATTAAGCCACGTGCCGAACTCGATGCCACTATAACTTAAAAGTGATTCGTAATATTTTTTAAGTTAGATCAAATAAAATGATCAAACATGTAGGTATTAGCATTAATTACAATAACTGAGTATTGTAACGGTTCAAGAATTTCCTTACCTTTAATTTTATATCATCCATTTTCACAAAGTAATAAAATACATCCAGTCAGAAGAAACCAAAAGCTACATAAATGAACGCTTATAGTTCTAGAACTTTCTCTACAAATTCAAAGCACCCCCTATATAATTGATATATACACTTTACTACAATGGATCCTAATATGATATATATTATTTAATACAGTATTGTATATGTAAATTTATTGTGAATTTAATTATAAGACCAGTAAAGAAGCATTAAAATGACTAATTAACATTTTAATATATTTATTCAGTAAAATCTATTTAAAACAGAAAGCGATGATACTGTACCTGACAGAATTGAAACACCGGTTAATCGGGGACGCCGCTTTATTGGGCCAAATCTTAAAGAACGGAAACCAAACTAATAAATTAATACATAATTTAATCGCTTAATTGGGACAGTAACAGAAGAGGAATTAAGCAATTTTCGATATATTTTAGGGATCTTCTGAAAATATGTAGACACTACATACACTAATGTGATGTAGGCCTAACGGTTGGCAGAGACAAAGAGATTTTGTCTTTTGCTCGGAAAGTTCGGTTTTTCTGTTGGGGGTCAGCATAACGGGATGTATCACACGGGAATTTCGTCTGAGGCGGACCTGAATGCGAGTTACTGACACATATGTGCACATAGGTAAAATCTTACCTATGCACTTACCCAGTGGTGATATTCGAAATATGTATTATAAACGACTCAACTGACCAGATACTATGGTACGAATAACTCTTTAATAATACAACTAAACACTTCTACATCCAGCTGGTTACTTCGAGCTATCTCGCTCGCTTTCTATCCCGCCACCTCGGCACCTCTCGATTACATTTCCTTTGTTTTAAATTGTCAACATATATTATATTACATTTAATGTTTATCTAAATCTTCAACATATATTACATCTCCCCCTTCTCTTTTACGGCTGATAATCCAAATACCGTCTTGGGATTCGTATAGGTCTGCCACTACGGGTTTTAGGAAGGTCCTCTTCACCCGGTGGAGAGTTTTGTTTGATTTCTAGCGTTGGTTCATAAAGTTCCCTATTCCCGGATCCTGTTCCATTTTCCGTCCTGGGAGTTTCTTCTTCGGGAGTATTCTGGTTGGATGATCCAGTCGATTTCTCCTCATCGACGATCTGCGGTTCGTCTTCCAGGGAGACTGTCTGGGGAATAGACGATGGGTGTAAATGTATTCTGTTCCTGCGGAACGTGCCTCTCGGAGTTTCGATAATGTAAGATCGTGGAGTATGGTGAGCCTCCTTCACCTTTCCATATGTTCGCATATCTGACACCCAGACTGGCTGTCCTAACTTCAACCGTGGAAGAGTTCTTACACCGTGGCGTCGATCAAAATAGGTTTTCTGTTTATCTGGAGTATGGTGAGCCTCCTTCACCTTTCCATATGTTCGCATATCTGACACCCAGACTGGCTGTCCTAACTTCAACC